AGTCCGCAAATCGACCAACCAAAGCTCAAACAAGGCCAATGAACATAACACAATCAAGTCAAGTTCTAAGTCTCCCACCTAAAACAAGCAAATCACCAAGCAACAAAGACCACTTCAAATTATGAACAAACCAATACAACAATCCACCTAAACAAGCATGTTCTTCCTTCATGAAAATCAATTTTTCAACCTCATTTACAAAAAATCCAATTCTCAAAACACACCAAAATTCAATCAAACTCAATAATTCTTTTCAATTATCAACTATCAATCACTCACAACCAATTCAAACAAACTTTCTCAAGCAATTTCATGCAAAAATTCAAGAAATTAAACATGAAATTAGTGAAAGGGAGGAAAGACTATACCGAGCTTATCGTGGGTGTAAAACCCGCAAATGAACCTTTCTAACCTTCCTTTTGCTTACTTGAACTTACTCCTTCAACCAATTGTCTTGAACTTTAACTCCAAAGAAAACCCCCAAATTAATTTTTCAAGGTTAGGATTTGAGTATTTTGGGTGATTTTTGGGTTTGAATGTGAGAAAAGAAGTAGTAGATTGTGAAAATGTTAAAATGGAGTGAATATTTTGGAGAAAATTGTTGAATTTGGGTGAGGATTTGGGTGAGAATGGAGGATTGAGTGGGTTTTGAAAGAGGAAGTAAGAGCTTTAGAGAGAGGAGGAGTGAGAAACGTGAGACGGAGAAATAAGAGTGAGTGAAATTTATTTTTTTCGTTATAACCGTGCTGCTGCCAGCTATTTTCGGGGCGGCATGGACGTGCAACAATTGGCACGGACGTGCAGCCTCAGACAGAAGCGTCAATAAGGTACTGAATTATTTGGCACGGACGTGCAGAATGCGGCATGGACTTGCTAAGTTGCACGAACGTGCGTAATTTGGCACGGACGTGCAACCTCAAACAGAAACTTAGATAACATACTGACTTGTTCAGCACGGACGTGCTTAGCCACCTTGCACGGACGTGCTTAATTTGGCACGTCCGTGCCAATCAGGAGAAATTTAATTCAAAGTTTCTGATTGCTTCTGAATGCCTCTGCACGCCCGTGCAGACCTGCTGTTGCAGGATCCTTTCCCCTTTTCCTTTTTTTTTTGAATAATAGTAATAGTAAGGCATAATAATAATAAAATTATTATCACTACCATTATTATTATTATTATTATTATTATTATTATTATTATTATTATTATTATTATTATTATTATTATTATTATTATTATTATTATTATTATTATTATTATTATTATTATTATTATTATTATTATTATTATTATTATTATTATTATTATTATTATTATTATTATTATTATTATTATCTACTACTTCACTTCCACAAAAACCTTTTCTTACTTTTCTTTTCATCAACACCTACAAAAGACATTTGAGAGAAAAGTTAGTAATAGTAAGAGTGATGGAAATTAAATAATAGTTTGTGAGAGAGAGAGAGTTGAGAAACTCGGGTTGCCTCCCGGAAGCGCTCTTTTAACGTCACTAGCTTGACGACATTGCAAGATCAATGAGAGTAGGGAACATCAAACTCATCAAGGTGAACAACCTTGGCTTCCTCATGCACAAAACCGTCAAAGTATGCCTTAAGCCTTTGGCCATTCACTTTGAACGGTTCACCATTGTTATTTGTGATTTCTATCGCTCCATATGGAAACACCTTCTTAACGGTGAAAGGTCCACTCCATCTTGACTTAAGCTTACCCAGAAACAACTTCAACCGGGAATTGAAAAGTAGGACCTTATCACCTTCCTTAAACTCCCTTTTGCTAATATGCTTGTCATGCCAAGCCTTAGTCTTTTCTTTGTAAATCCTTGCACTCTCATATGCAACCATTCTTAATTCTTTACAAGGCGTGGAGGTCAAGCAACCTCTTCTCACCGACGCTTTGAAGGTCGAAGTTCAATGTTTTGATATCCCAATGAGCCCGATGCTCAAGTTCAACCGGCAAGTGGCATGACTTCCCATAAACAAGCTTGTATGGTGTGGTGCCAATAGGAGTTTTGAACGCGGTGCGATAGGCCCATAGAGCATCATCAAGCTTTGTAGACCAATCTTTTCTAGACCTATCCACCGTTTTCTCAAGGATCATTTTTACCTCCCGGTTTGAAATTTCAGCTTGACCACTTGTTTGGGGGTGGTAAGCTAATGAAACCTTGTGCCTTACACCATATTTCTCAAGGAGAGCTTGAAAGGATTGCTTTGCAAAGTGTGAACCTCCATCACTAATCATAGCCCGGGGCACTCCAAACCTTGGGAAAATTACTTTTTTGAAGAGCTTGACCACAAACTTAGCATCATTAGTAGGAGATGCAACCACTTCCACCCACTTTGATACGTAATCGACGAACACTAGAATGAACTTGTTCCCAAAAGAGCTCGGGAAAGGCCCATAAAATCGATGCCCCATACATAAAAAATTTCAAGTTCAAGTATGTTGTTCAAAGGCATTTCATTTCTTTTTGAAATATTACCGGTTCTTTGACACTGGTCACAAGCTTTCACGACACCCCACACATCTTTGAACATTGTTGGCTAAACGAAACTGCATTGCAATATTTTCGCCAAGGTCTTGTTGGCACTCATATGTCCTCCACAAGGTGAGGACACATTGTGATAACATCTTCAATTTCATTATTCGGGACACACCTTCTAAAAAGGCCATCAACATCTTGTTTGAAGAGCAAGGGGTCGTCCCAAAAGTATTGGCGAACATCATGAAGAAACTTCCTTTTTTGTTGATAGGAGAGGTCGGGAGGGAGAATAGAGCAAGACAAGTAGTTTGCAATGTCCGCAAACCATGGTGCTGGTGCTTGGAGAATAGCAAATAGTTGATCATCTGGGAATGAATCGTCGATTGACAAGTTATCAAGATCGCCTACAAGGATAGGCAACCGTGAAAGATGATCGGCCACCACATTTTCGGCACCCTTCTTGTCCCTAATCTCAATGTCATAGTCTTGTAAGAGAAAGACCCACCATATCAATCTTGGCTTTGGTTCCTTGTTAGACAAGAGGTACTTCAAGGCCGCATGGTCGTTGAAAACTATTACTTTAGATCCCAACAAGTATGACCTAAACTTCTCAATTGCATGAACAATTGCTAATAACTCCTTTTCTGTGGTTGCGTAATTCCTTTGTGCATCATCCAAAGTTTTGCTAGTGTAGTAGATAACATGGAGCTTCTTATCCTTCCTTTGTCCAAGAACGGACCCAATGGCAAAATCCGATGCATCACACATAAGCTCAAAAGGAAGCTCCCAATTAGGGGGTTGAATGATAGGAGCCGAAATCAATGCCTCCTTCAACCTATCAAATGCTAGCAAACAATCATTAGTAAACACAAAAGGGGCATCCTTTATCAACAATTGAGTGAGCGGCTTTGCGATTTTTGAAAAATCATTTATGAACCGGCGGTAAAAACTCGCGTGTCCAAGAAAGCTCCTTATCCCCTTCACATTTGTAGGGGGTGGGAGGCGCTCAATGACCTCAATTTTGGCACGATCTACTTCAATGCCCCTACTAGAAATTACATGACCAAGAACAATTCCTTCTTCTACCATGAAATGACGTTTTTCCCAATTCAAAACCAAGTTCACCTCTTGACATCTTTTCAATACTTTAATCAAATTTGAAAGGCAAATGTCAAAAGATGAACCAAAAACAGAAAAGTCATCCATGAATACTTCAATTGATGATTCAAGCATGTCGAAAAAAATAGACATCATACACCTTTGAAATGTGGAAGGTGCATTACAAAGTCCAAATGGCATCCTTCGATAAGCAAAGGTGTTAAAAGGGCATGTGAATGTAGTCTTCTCTTGATCTTCGGGTTGGATTGGGATTTGGAAGAATCCCGAGTATCCATCCAAGAAACAATAGTGACTCTGTGATGCTAGTCTTTCCAATATTTGATCGATGAAGGGGAGTGGGAAGTGGTCTTTCCGGGTGGACTTATTCAATTTTCGATAATCAATACAAATCCTCCACCCGGTGACCGACCTCGTATAAATGGTCTCACCCTTATCAATCTTGATGATGGTCATGCCTCCTTTTTTAGGCACAACTTGAACCGGGCTAACCCACTTACTATCGGAGATAGGGTAGATTATGCCCGCTTCAAGAAGTTTTAAAACTTACAACGCTTTCGCGCTAGCGCGCTTACCCGTTGCTTGTTGACTTAAGCATAAATACCTCACCTCGCGGCAACCACTAGAATATTACAGAACGATCTAAAGAGGGTCATAGCCCATGAATGGGTGAGGGTGGATGTAAGCTTTAGGCTGAAGAGACTCTAAGGGAGAGGCGCGAGAGAATGGTTCCCAAGCGCTATTAAGACTTGCTGAGTAGTCATCCGATACGACGGATGGCTGACCCCTAACAGAAGAGGAGGCGGGCGCTCAACCTAAAAGGTTGGGGGGTTGCTAGAAACCTCAGTAGGGTTGGTGCTCCCAAGGGTTCGCATTTTTAACCAAACCATTCATCTAGGTTAAAGCAAACGCCAGGAGCGGTATCCGTTACCTCGGCAAAGCGGTAGATCTCGATAGAGAACCAGGGGAAGAGTCTGCTACGCAGGCCAAAAGATCATACCCCCTCGTTTCTTCACCTTCCTCAACTAAGCCTCCCGTTAGGATAGCTTGTAAAGGATCTACTTCAAACAAATTTTCTTGGAACTTCTCTCAGTCCCTTTCCAGTGTATCAACTCTATGAAATTCATCATACAATGGCTTTTTCAATGTTTGTGGGAATGAAAATGATATTTTCTCATCTCCCACATTCAAGGTCAATCTTCCTTGCTTCATATCAATCACAACACCCGCGGTGTTCAAAAACGGTCTACCCAAGATTAGGGGCACCGTAGTATCTTCTTCCATTTCCATTACCACAAAATCACATGGCACAAATACTCTTCCAACTTGAACAGGTACATCTTCAAGAATTCCCAAAGGTAGCCTAACCATGCGGTCGGCCAATTATAAGGACATTCTTGTTGGCTTCAGGTCTCCCACTTTCAAACTCTTAGCAATAGAATAGGACATCAAACTCACACTTGCCCCAAGATCACATAAAGCATCCATAGCCTCTAAGTCTCCAATCTTCACCGGTATTGCATAGCTACCGGGGTCACCAAGATTTTGAGGGAGCTTGTTTTGAATGATTGCACTCACCTCCTTAGGAAGGGAGATGGTTGCACTCTCTTCAAGCCTACTCTTGTTGGATAAAAGATCCTTCAAAATTTTTGCATATGTAGGCATTTGTGACATAGCATGAAGAAAGGGGATTTCACTTGAAGTCCTCTCATGAATTCAAGAAAGTTTGAAAACTTTTCATTCAATTTCTTTTCAACAATCCTATGAGGGAATGGAATGGGAGGCTTGTATACTTTCATGGGGGGCTTTTCTACCTTTTCCTCATCTCCCTCATTCTTACTTTGTGGCTCCTTTCTCTCAACATCAACTATCTCATTTTCAAACTCATCCTCATTTCTCACCACAACTCCCTCATCTCTCTTTTGTGGCTCCTCTTCACTCATAACCGGCCCTTCATAACCTCTCCCCGATCTCAAAGTAATGGCCTTAGCTTGCTCTTTTGGGTTCACAACCGTTGAGCTTGGGAAGTTACCACTAGGATTGGAGGATGAACTTCCAACTTGTTGCGCAATTTGAGCCAATTGATTCTCAATTATCTTGTTGTGTGCTTGAAGTTGTTGGATGTTCGCTTGCATATCCGCATTGCTTCTTCCTTGTTGTGTAATGAAGGTCTCAAGTGCGGCTTCAAGGCTAGATTTTTTAGAAGGTGGAGGAGCGGGTTGGTTATATTGTTGCCTTTGTTGGTTTTGGACCCTTTGGTTAGGGTGACGGTAAGGAGCTTGTTGGTTTTGTGGATGAGATTGATTGTATTGGTTTTGAGGGGGGCCTTGATTTTGTTGTTTCCAACCCGTGTTTTGTTGGGGTTTCCAACCTTGATTGTAGGGTTGAGAGTATTGATCGTTTCTTTGCACAATAGCCGCAGCTTGTTCTTGGTTAGTTGAGTTACTATAGGAGGACAAGTGATCATTTCCTCCACAAGTTTCACAAGACATGACTTGTTGTGAATAAGAGCTTGGAGATGTAAGCGTGGCTTGATCTAGCTTGTGAGCTAGCATGTCAAACTTTGATGCAATAAGGTCTATTGCACTAAGGTCGTGGATTCCGCCCTTCTTTGATTGAGGTTGTCGTTTATCACCTCCGTATGCATAGTGCTTTGCCACTTCTTCAATCATCTTATATGCATCATCCACCGATAGCTTTTTAAGGCTACCACCGGCCCCGTTATCAAGGTTGGCCCTTAAAGTAGGAGTAAGACCATCATAAAAGCTTTGAACAATGATCCATGATGTGAAACCATGGTGTGGGCATTTTCTGGTGTAGTCCTTGAAACGCTCCCAAGCTTCACTTAAGGTTTCATCAATCTCTTGGTTGAAATTGGTGATTTTCCTTCTTAGTTCGGCGGTCTTTTCGGGTGGACAATACTTTCCAAGGAAAGCTCTAGTGACTTCATCCCATTTGGTCAATGATCCCTCTTCTACCGTTCTCAACCAATGCTTTGCTTTGTCATGGAGGGAGAATTGAAACATGTGCATACGGATGAACTCTTCCGTAATGTTGTTTTGCTTGATGGTTTTGCACAATTCGAGAAAGTTGTCCAAATGAGCAAAAGGACACTCATGAGAACTCCCACCAAATTGATCACTTTGTATCATACGGATGAGTTGAGGTGAAAGCTCAAAATTATTTGCATTCGTAGTAGGGAGACGTATGCCACTCCAAAGTGTGAAGGCATTAGGTTGGTCATAATCTCGTAACAATGGTGGAGAGGATTGTAATCACCCATGTTATCTTCTTCATTGGTTGCAAAGATTTCCTTCGGATCGGAATCCGAATATACAATAGAGAACTCGGGTGTGCCTTGCAAAAGCCTCCTCACGTTTCTCAAAGTCCTATTTAACTCTGGATCAACGGGAATAAGTGGTGATTGCTTACTCTTCCGTGTCATGCAAGGTCAAAAAAAGCTAAGAAAAACGTTATCAATGACTATCACAAGTGGAAAACACAAATATACAAAAATAAATAAGAAAAATTATGATACAAATATACACACTTAGACTCATTCAACAATAATACATTCAATATGACTTTGCCTCCCCGGCAACGGCGCCAAAATTTGATAGGCCGTCGTTGAGCCTACCAAAGATAAAGTCCTATCTTGGTCTCACTAGCTACAACAAGGGTAAGAAAGGGTCGAACCCAAGAGAGGCGTTGAATCAACCACCGAAATACTACCGCATAAATAAGCTAATTGAAGTCGAAATTGGTTTGGTTTTATGTAACAAGTACTAGTTCAATTCAACTAAAGCTAGGGGGAGATTAAAAATATTTAGAGAGTTCTAGGGCTTGGGATATACCACTCAATTTCGTCACAAATCACAATTAGCAAGTCAAACAATGGTAATTTGAGGAGATAATATAGGGGAAGTCATCTAAAGCACCCAACTACTCTCTCAAGCTAGAGGGATTACTCGAATTATGAATACAACCTACTCTCGTGGTTACAAATCATAAAACAAGTATTACAGCATAATCACGATGACAAAAACATTCCCTTGACTGGAAATTCCTATTCTCATGGCATTTCAAGTCAATTAAGCATAAGGGAGCTAACTCAAGTTCATCTCTCGATCCTTCGTTGACAAAGTTTAGATAATAGTTCTAGCATGGCCATATACAAGAACTAAGCAATTAAACAACTTAAGCTCGACTAATTAACACCATCAATTACCAAATTAACACATGCAACAAGTAATTAGTGACTACATTTAGAGTTTTACCCAAACCCTAGAAAATTAGACTACTTACAATCCATGGAGATTAAAGCAATTAAGGTTTTCAAGTAACTCATGAACAAGAATTAACTAAATATTAAGCTAAATAGCAATCTAAGAATGCAAGAATTAAGCAAGATAATTAACAATCAAAGCAATTAAAATGGAAGAGAAGAGTGAGAAAATGTTACTAGAAGCTTCAACTTGAATATCAATGGTGGAACTTGTCTTCTACAATGATTTAGAATGAAATTTCCAAGCTAATAATTATAATCTAACTAATGATTTGAGAATATTTGTGTTTCTACAATTGCAAACTAAGAGGAAGCACTAAAAACTTGGATGCCGTACAAATGAGCTCCCAAAGTTATTTATAAAGACCCCCAAATAAAAAGGACGGAGAAAACAAGAGTCGGGCACGGCTATAGGTCAGCACGGACGTGCTGAGGTTGGCACGGACGTGCAGCTATACCTGCACGGACGTGCTGAGATTGGCACGGGCGTGTTGAGATTGGCACGGGCGTGCACCTGGGAGGCAGAAGGTACTGTTTTAGTCAGGGCATCCTGCACGGACATGCCACATATGGCACGGACGTGCAGGCCATGTTCAGAAGAATCAGTTTTGGCTGAGCAATTGCACGGACATGCAGGATCAGGCACGGTCGTGCTGAATATCCTGCACGGGCGTGTTGAGTTCTGCACGGACGTGCAGACCTTGAAAGCAGTAGATATTAGCTTCTGGCCGTGCTGGAACACTTCTGCACGGACGTGCCGTATTTTGCACGTCCGTGCAGACTCTCTAAGGCCTTTATCTTCACTCTTCTTTGGTTTTGCTCCAAAGTTTCAGCTTCTAACCTCGGTTTATCATCCAAATGCCTCAAATGGTCGTCTTTGAACCTAAAATCCTGACAAAAAAAACTAACAACCCGTAAAACAAGGGATACACAAAAGTTGAACAAAAATAAAGTAAAAGTGAACCAAAATGCCAATATACCAAGTAAACAAGGCTCGAAATCACTCTGAAATCGTATCAAATAACAAGTTATCAGGCGCTGGCTCCTGTCATTTGTGACAGGAGGAGTTTTATTCCAAAGATGATTCTCTTAGATCCCGTGCTATTTTTGTTATAAATAGGGGAAGTATCTCCCTGTTTTCAAATCATCTACATCTACAATCTACAATTCTCTCTCTCTATAAGCGAAAAGCTTTCCCTCTCTCTCTTTTCTTTTTCTAAACCTTCCCTCACACAAAATTCCTCATACATTAGTTCTAGAAACACCTAGCCAATTTCGAAGTTGCCTTCACCCTATACGTGAAAGGTTTGATATTTATGATGTTTTGGTCCCAAATCCCTATTTTAATTATTTAATTTAATTGTTTTGTTTATTATTTTTCCTTGAAGTTACTAACGTGTGTATTTTGTCATTAGAAAGAGATACGAGGCATCGAAGTAAGTAATTTAATTGCTTTATTGATCTTTTGATATAGAAATCATGATTAGATTGTTTTATTGATTCCTAATATCACGTTAGGATGTTTTATTGCTTCCTAGTATCATGTTTAGGGTAATAACTAAAATTTCTAATATCAAGTATGATTATTATGATGCTTCTTATGTCTTTCCTTATATCATGTTAGTATCATGTTAGGGCTAGAGCTTTGATTTTTAAAGTTTAGTGACATGCTAGGGTTTGTTATTTATCTTGTTAGTATCTTGGCTAGGATCTTGCTATTGATATGCTTTAACGTGATTATTTTAATTATGATTATTATTTTTATTGTTATTATTATGTTGCTTGATATATTATTATTGCTATTTCTTGATCACGCCTTTTATGTATGTTTAAAGGGAATTTGTACTTGCAATCACGCTTAGGCTAATTTGATTATAATTAAAGTGATCGGCAATAATAGATTTGTTTGTGCATTAATATTCAACCAACATATAGATTAAACAGGTTTAGGGTTAATCTAATGATTGCATGTTAGTTAGAAAGCGCACATGAAACGAGAAGAATAAAGTAGAGGCCTATTTTAGGGCAAGTTTAATCTCTTTTAGGTTAGATTTAATTTGTACCTTCATCCCTGAACATTTAGTCATGGTTTTAGACCTATTGGAGTTAACGATCTCTGGATTGTTAAGGGGTGTAACCTTAACCCTGTAAACGGTTTACAAGTTCCTAAAACTTGTTGGCGACTCTTTTACTCTTGCTTCCTTCCCTTTGGCACCACCATGCTTAAGTGTATGATCATAGTGGGGCTAAAGTGTGGGATGGATTAAAATATTCCCTACATCTTTTTGGCGATTCTACTGGGGAGGATTTCTATTTTAATTCCTGAAATTATTTTTGGCAATGATTTTGAATGAGTGGATGAGACTCTAAAAGTTCTAAGTATTTCATGTGCGTAATTTTGATTGACATTATCGGCATAAGCATAAAAAGGTTCTCATCGAAAAGACCATCCGTAATGAGTCAAAACATAGGATTTTTACATGTAGTAATCTAGGGAAATATCTTTCACAACTAAAATCGAAGTAATGCATGCTACGAAAAAACTGGAAAATTAAAAAATCGAAAGCTGCTGAGGCATGTAGGAATTAGCGCTGATAAAACAGTGTCATCGCCTAACATTGGCGTCGTCTCTTGGAAACAAGCTTATCGTCTGGCGACAATGCCAGCGTCTGGCGGCGATGTTATTTTCTCGTGCCAAATTCTTCCACTACTGAGCCAAAAATCTACCTTCTTGTTTCGACTAGTTCTCTAGTACAGTTTACTCGGTTTTACTTTTTGATTGAGTTTTTCCTTATTTTTTGAAACCCATATGTGTTCTACATATGGACATAACCCTCTAGAAATTCATGCTCCATCTACCCAATCGAACGCTCCTGGAAACAAAGGGTACGTCCGAGAATGTTGAATTCACCAAACCATGGAAGCGAGTTTAACTCGTGGGGTCCCATCCACACTCGCCAACCCTTCAAAAGCTAAGGCTTCTGCGCGATGCATACGGACTCATAACCATGGACCCTCTTTGACTAACCCATATCTTGAACTTTAGAGAACTAGAGCCATGGTTAGGTTGCAAACTCATTGTATCATATCTGACTATATGACTACTTGTGAATTATTTGCTGTGCATACTCCATGTGTTTTTTCCTAACCGTTTATTTTACTTGTGTATGAGTTAAATAAATTAAAATAATGACTAAAATAACTTTGCTAATTTATTTAATTAAATAATTAATAATGATTAAAGTCTAATAAATTGATCAAACTGGCCTAGACTTAGTTCGACTTTAAGGCTAATCCCTTTAGAGCAAAATACTGGAAACTGTCCCAGATTAATATTCCATAACGGTGCAAAGATCAGGACTGCGGAGCCACACGCTAATGTCCGGCGCAAGGCGATGATCCCGTCATCTTGCGTAGGTTACCAGCGTCTGGCGACAGTACTGTCGTCTGACGACAGCCTGCAATTTTGCTTGAGTCTTCACGATGTGTCAGTTTAATCGATTTGCTGATACGGTGTAGTCAGTTTATTAATGGCAGTGATTATTTTCAGTCCTTAATCGAGTCTAGGCACATAGTCCCATTGTCTCACAAAAAGAGTCAAAGTATATTACTCACAATCACTATTAAATCACACACATAACATGTCACATCTTGACCATGTCTAGAGAGTCTTTTATGCGCGTATTTCCGTCATTTTCTTAGGGGGGGTAAGTCAGATATTAATCCTCTAATAAAACCATATTTATTTTAAAACCTTACTTGGTCTTCAAAAAATACATCCCATTTTTGTTTTAAATATTAATAAAGTCAAAGCCAAATTCGAGTCAAGTAATTAAAATAAATAAATAATTTAATTTACAGCGTTTG